GGCTTCAGCCACTGAAATGCTTCTAAATCTCCCGCTCTATTTGCTCGCTTCTAATTGGTCCGTTTGAATTGTCATTCAATACTTAACAGTGAGTGAGACCAGATGGTATCTTTAAGTGGTGTAAATGGATCTGAGGATTGCTTCTCCTGGGTGCTTTGTCAGTTCACGGAGCACAGCAGTCTCTTGTCTATGGGGATTCTTCAGTCATCCAGGTCATGGTTGTTCCAAAGGTGCTTTTTTCAAGAGGCAACTGGACTTTCCTGGTTTCCAGAAAGTCCAGTTGTGTCAGAGTATATTCATCAACTGGAATAGGACATAGTAACAAAGTCAGCCAATTGGGAGCTGAGACAGACTAGAGCCAGGATGTGTCTTAGTCTGCAGCTTCTGAGACTGTGCAGAGCTAAAGTGAAATTAGTTGCTCTGCTGTACTCTGTGTGTAAACATGTCTGCTGATCTGAGCTGAAGAACCACTGTTGGTATTGTAAATATACTTTATGTGTTATTATGAATATAAAGAAGTTAATGATTCGGCTATCTGTTGTGTCCTTCTGCATTTGTTTTTTGCAAGAAACTCTGACAAGTTGCCTCTTGAAAAAGCACCTTTGGGGCAGGAGTTTCTTGCATTGCTTTGGAGTGGGCAAGGCACATGATTGCTCAATGATAATAAGTGGATCCTCCTTCCAATTTGTTTTAGTTTTCTCTCATGATAACATGACATAGTAACATGGAACCAGTTGTAGAAAGTTAGCACCCACCACTCTCCTAGAAGAATGAAATATTTTGAGAAATATTAAAAATGAAGAATATATTTCCCTGAATGAGAAATGGAGAAACATGTTTTCTTAGAGGGAGAAAGCAGCCCCCATGTTCCTTAATAGCCCACCGAAGATGTCAGCACTTAAGAGATAGAGATAGATAGTTATATTCATAGGCAAAAATTTCCTGCAGCAAGGTCTGAACAAAGGCAGAATGGGATTAGCCTTCACTCAAGAGGTTAATTTGTAATTTGTCTCTTTAGCTTGGCATTTGTAGCCCAAATATGCCCACCCACTTTCTGGAGAGCTTAAATGACCTCTCTGCTAAAGGGTTTCACTTTATGAGCAAGAGTAGTGCTGATAGTTATCCTTGTATTTTAACTATTTTAATTCCTCAATGTGCTCTGGCAACCTGCCTGATTTATAACTCCGGGTTGCAGGTATTGCTGAGAAAAAGGAATGTATTCAGACAGAATGGTTTAGGTTTCCATGACAGCTATGACTCATTGATCTTCAGTGTGTATTCCCCCATTTCTAATCTAATGACTGGTATTTAGGGCAGCTTTTTGCAAGCAAATAAGCTTTTTATATTTTTGTACAGGTAATCCTTGATTTACAACAGTTCATGTAGTGACCATTCAAAGTTACAAAGGCACTGAAAAAAGTGACTTATGACCATTTTTCACACTTACGACCATTGAAGAATCCCTATGGTCATGAGAGGGCGGGTGAGGCGAAGCACCCCTCAGTGTAAGTGACATCGAGTTGACCACAATCACCCAGTCAGTCATTAGGGCAGAGAATCAGTTGTTAAAAAATTTGCAGCCCACCACTGGGCCAAGCTGTACGTTCCTGAAAGCCAAAGATGACTAATCCTGGAGAAGAGCCATGACTTAAAAACTGCAGGACATTTTGGCTTTGTAAAAATGTTACACTTAATTAAGCACCAGTTTTGGTGGCTGTCCCTTTAAAAAGACATTCAAAGTTATGTGGCCAGCTGCCCACTTTGCAATTCAGCTATGCTATGGCAGGAGCAAACACCAGAACTCCTCCAGTAAGTGGCAGAGCCTAATAGCCCTGGAAGGAAATTTCTATAGTTTTCAAAACAGAACTACCAGAAAGCTAGAGAAATACTGTAATCTGGGTTAGGGTTAGGGTTTTCCTTAGAGAACACTGATTTGTTCTCTAAACAAGTGCAATTTGTGCCCTGCCAAAAAATTCCTTCTGCCCACACCTTAGCTAACTTCTTCATTCACCACATCAATAGGCTGCACGGCGCTCTTCAACAAATAATTTGTGACTGTGGAGTGCAATTAACTTCCAAATTCTGGCAAGAGTTTTTAAAACTTCTTGGGCCATCCCAAGGACTTAGTTCCAGTCATCATCTGGCAATGAATGGAGGGTATGAATGTACAAATTGGGTTCTAGAATAATACCTGAGTTGTTATATAAATTACTAGCAGGACAATCAGACAGACTTCATCCCATTCTCTGAAGTGACCTATAATAATTCTGTATATAGCAGCACCAGGTTTACCCCATTCAAGGTGGCTATGGGACAGGACTTTGTGCCAATGCCTGAGCTGCCCCGGTCACACACACACACACACACACACACACACACACACACACACACACACCGCATTACTTTGTTAAAGGACTGGGCTGCCCAGCTGAAGAATTCCTGGCCGGTGCTCAGAAAACCATTGGAAGAGGCATGAGAAACTCATAAAAAATATGCCTAACCCTAACCCAAAGGCCAAAGACTTTAAAATAGGGAACCAGATCTACCTTGCCACAAAATACCTGCAGTCCAGGCAGACTTCCAAAAAACTGGGACCAGTTAAAATTACCACCCTTGCTCGGAAAAATCCATCCGGTATTCCATTCGAGTTTACTAAAACCAGTTAGCAAACCTCATGCTCCACAAGCAACCCCAGGGCCAGTAGTGGGATCATATTATGAAATCAGGGATATTGTTGATTCTAGATATCGTAGAGGCCAATTACAATATCTGGTTAGGTGGACAGGGTATCCCGATACAGAAGCTTCCTGGGTTCCAGTAGATGATATAAACGCTCTGCGTTTCATTAGACTGCCCAACGGGACCCCGCCTCTGTTGGATTTGGCTCACACCCCAGGATCTGAATTCCCGTAGACCTACATCCAAAGCAGCGGCTGCCTTGTACCATTCCGACAGGCGGGGTCCTAAACCCCGATACACACAAGCCTGCCGTATCTCTCTATCTAGTCCTGATTGAAACTGATGTATAAGGAGGCGTTCCGGCCATGACCGCAGTTTCCCGGCCAGGTTGCGGAATTCCTTGACGTAATCCTTAGCTGGGCGGCCACGCTGTCTCAGGCCTACTAGTTCCCCCCCGATCACTTGGGTTTGGGTCTCATCTTCGAACCGGGCTCTTAATGCCTCCAGGAATAATCCGAGGTCTGTCAATTCATGGGCATGCTCACTGTGTAGGTCAGCGACCCAGTCTGCAGCCTCGCCCGTGAGCACTGCTGTCACAGCAACCACCATGGACCATTGTGAGGGATATAACCTGCCATACAGGTCCATATGGCTGATTACTTGGCTAAGGAATAATGCCACCTTTTCTGATGTTCCATCAAACGTAGCCTCCACTGGGGGTAAGCCCCAAGGGTTTTGCGGGGTCCATACCCCGGGGCCCCATGGTGGTAACGGGTCCAATTGGCGGGGCTGCGGTGGCCTAACCCCCCCCCCACACCCTGGGGTCGCTGGCCATCGGACCTGTGATCCGCTCCTCTTTCCCTACTGGGTCGAGCAGCCGCTCTTGTTGGTGTGCGAGCGCCATCCCCACCATATGACAGACTAGTACCGGTGTTCACTGGGAGATGCTCCCCGCTCGCTCGGCTCGTTCATCGTTCGGGTTTAAACTTAGGGCTAGCGATACATAGTCTGCCTTCAGAACATTCCCCATCAAAAAGATCATCAATCCAGTCACAGTTGAACTTGAACTGCTCAAATCCCTTAGGCACATTCACCCAATTTTTCATTGTAGTGTACTAAAATTGAAAAATCTATTCCCTCTGTGCCCGACGCCGCCTCTGCCACCTGAGCCACTCATGATTGAGGTGGAACAACATTTTGAAATTAAGGACATTTTAGATTTTCATAAATACCGAGGAAAACTCCAGTATTTAGTTATGTGGAAAGATTTTCCTCCCTCTGAAACTGAATGGGTTAAACAAGTTAAAGCAGTCAAACTCCTCAAATGCTTCCATAATCAATATCCTAATAAACCAAAAGAGCTCACTTATCTAACCGTACACCTACCTTGTTTCTCTATCTATCTGTTGTGTCTTTTTGTTTGTTTTACAGGACTAATGTACTTGTCAAGGGGGGGGAGCATGTCAGATCCATCACTTCAGCTTGGCGCCTTGTTGGCATTCTGCCATCAATCGAGGAAGGGAGGTGGGAACAAATGGGCAAAAAAGCTGTATACCTTTATGATGGGAAATTGGGAGGGGGAATTGACAGTTGAGGAAGAACAGAGCATTTTGGAATCTGGTTCATGCTGGCATTTTTAAGGCTGTTTACCCTGAGGGTGGAATTTCAGACACCCCAAACACCTCAGTGTTTCCCAAAACATCTTGGCAGTGCTAGATTGGTTATACATGGATGGACCATGCGGGGATAGCTAGGGAGGAGCAAAGAATTAGTTCTATATTGGTGCGTGGGAACTTCAGATTCCACTTGACTCTACTGCAATCAGCATCTCTTAATAATAGTGTCTTTTCATGTCAACCAAATGGAGTCAAAAGTTTTACTTCCCTAGGAGATCAGACTGGGGCAGGTCTGACAGATGTTAGACAAGTACTTTGAGCAGTGAATTTGCCTTCTTTCAAATTGCCGAACATGTCACAGATACTACATGGCTACACAACATTTCTGATTTAAAAAAAACAGGCTACCTTCGAATACAACTCTAGTGAATTGTGTGTGTGTGTGTGTGTGCGTGTGTGTGTGGGTGTTTGAAAGGTTGGGCTAACAAGCACAGAGGAGTGCACAGGGGAACAGTTCAGAATAAGTAATAAGTGAGATCTATCCTCCATTAGTGCTACAAGGTGGCCATAACCATAGCACCAAAAAGTAAGCAGTTTAAGTAGGCTAAAGTGCACCCCTTCCTCAAAGGGATAAAAAGAGGCAATAAAACATTCCTTGTCAACCCCCAAGGACCACACATCACGATTGACGCTGCCATTCATTACCTTTCCTCCATGTGAGGCCCAAGAAGAATGGAGACAGGCACAGGGGTTCCCTCTTGGATAGCCTGGAGGATTGCTGGCAGGGGCTGCAGTTTCTCCTGGGTTTGCTTGTAAGTAGAAGAACAGAAAGGGTCTACATAAAGAACTTGGCCAGACTGATGGTAGAAATTGCTTTCAGTCTGGCTAAAGTCTGATCTATTTTCTATCCGTTGCATTTATACATTTACATCTATTTCTTATACTGTATATTTAAATTCACACATACAAACTTGAGCATAGTTTAAAAAATATGTCATGTCTTGGACAATTTGCCTGCAGAATGGCTTCTCTCCCTCCCTCCCTTGCAAATCTTATTGCGGAGCCCCTCTTCTCACAGTTGATTTCAACAGCAAATGGATCCATTTCCTACTCAGATGAAGAAGAACCATATTTGGCAGTCTACCAGCTGCTATAAAGTGGCTGGAAGACTGTCAATTGTTCATTTAAAAAAAAATACTTGAAAAAAATCTTAGAGGGCCTAACAGAGTCAGCATCACTGAAGAGGGCAGTTGAGGAGAGTTATCCACATCTACCCATTTTCCATTCAAGAACCATATTCGGGTAGGAGAGAAATGGAATTCCTGGAACAGTCCCAAGGCTACAGAGAAGACTTCTTGTAGGGGCTCATTTTCAGTTTATTCTCAGTTTGCGTGACATGGCTGGCTGGAAAAGGTTAGTTTAGGTCCCAGGGCTGTTGTATGAATCCCCTGTAACGTGATGCTGACCTGGTGTATTCCCAATATACTGTTGGGCCTTCTGTTTTCCCTTCCTTTGATCTCATTTGCAATTGCAATTAGTGTATGGAGTAAAGTTCTTGGTGTGCAACATGCAGACAACAAGGGCTCAGACCAATCCCAGAAGACTTTGATTTGAGACAATAGTTGGTGGCTTGAGCCCTAAACTTTAACATCTGTTTCTGTCTTTTTATTTTATAGATTTTATTAACTTTCACTACGAGATAAAAAATACAGAAAAAAACCAAAAGTTAGAGAACTGTGAAAAAAAGAGAAATGCAAAGAAAGAGAAAAATTGCTAATGATTTCTGACAATTCTCAATGCAGTAAAATACAAATAAATTGCAACCTCAACCCTTTGCTTTGCATTTCACAATATTTTAAACAATTTCTATAATAACAAAAATCATCAAAACTTAAAATCAGAGTTTCATTTTTTCAATTTCAAGTAAAAAGTCCACAAAAGTACCTGTTTCTGTGTTGTTTCCACATATGAACAGGTCCAACCATTGTGGATGTGATGCAAAAAAGCTTGTGTGGCCTTTTGCCACTAGAGGGCAGGTTTGTTTATAATAAAAATTCCCCCCCCCCCCCCTCCCCCCCCTCCCCCCCCCCCCCCAAGAGTAGCTGATACCTGTTCCAGAGTGGAGAAGATGCTGCAGAGCAAGGAGTGAAGGATGGACAATTCCAGGGCCAGGTCAATTGAGTCATTATAGGCACTCAATGCTATGGTACTACCAGGGCTTGAAACGCTGCTGAGAAATGATTTCATGGTATGCCAGTTGTGCTCAAGAAACTCATTCATGAAACTCATATAGGCCTCCTTTTCCCCAAACCTATGGGAAATGAAATACCATATCACTGTAATGGAGAGAAGAATGTCTGAACCCTGTAGATCCATCCCTTTTGCCACTGGTATTGTTGCCCAGATGGAGGATTTATAATTCCTCCTGAGACAATCCATTTAATCTTATGAATTGGGGAAGTCAGTGGATTCCTTGTCCCTCAGGCTGCCAATGCAGTGCAACTGGCTAATATAAAGCTGCTCAGCTCTTGCCTTCTGGTCCAATAATTGCACCATGAGATATTCCCTGCTCTTTCAGCTTGATTCCTGTCTTTTATTGAGCAGATAGTTCCTTACAGCATAGATGCCAATGGAAAATATCCTATATACTTAGGTTTGAGAGCCCAGAGCCAGCCTTAAATACAGAAAGGCTCATAGGCATCTAGATTTTCTGTCATTTTCCAAGGCATTATGATGGTCTTGGAACTGGGCTGAGTTTGGTTCCCAGCCCTGCCAATAGAGTCATTGTCTAAACAACTTATCTCTGTGTACTTAATCAGCAAAGTAAGTTTAAACAATAACCCAGTTTAGGGTTTTTGAAGCTGTATTTTGCAGAATTCGGGTTCCATGGAGGTGGGGTGGGGAATTCCATTCAAACGCAGCCAGGGCATCCATAGAACATCTGTCTGATCATAATGAATATAAATCACCAGGACCTGATGGATTACATCCCAGAGTTCTGAAGGAGCTGGCAGATGTCATCTCAGAACCACTGTACCATATCTTTCAAATATCCTGTAGCACTGGGGAACTATCAGAGGACTGGAAAAGAGCTGATGTGGTTCTCATCTTAAAAAAAAAAAAAAAGGAGGGGGGGGAGAAACCAGACCCAAGAAACTACAGACCAATCAGCCTAACATCAATACCTAGAAAGACACTGGAAAAGATAATAAAAAACCAAACCTGCCAATATCTAGAAATGAGTAAAGTTATAACTAGATGTCAGCATGGGTTTAGTTAAAAATAGATCATGCCAAATCATTCTTATTTCATTCATCAACATAGTGACTAAATTAATAGACCAGCAAAATACTGTTCCTTGGTAAACTAGAAAAAAATGGGATAGATAGCATCACCACAAGATGGACTTGTAACTGGCTGACAAACCATACTCAATGAGTAGTCCTTAATGGGTCTACGTCTACATGGAGGGAAGTAAGCAGGGAGTACCACAAGGTTCCGTCTTAGGCCCAGTACTCTTCAATATCTTCATAAATGACTTAGTTGAGAGAATAGAAGGGGAATTTACCAAATTTGTGGATGATACTAAACTGGCAGGAATAGCCAACACTCTAGATCAGTGACAGCTAACCTTTTTGCCATTGCGTGCCAGGAGGGGTGGAGTGGGGGAGGTTCGTGCACCCATAATTCTCTGCGCCCAGCCCTGCACATCCGTGCGCAATCCCCCCTTCCCCCGCCCGCTCCTGGCACGCAATGGCCCGGTAGGACCGTTTTTCTTTCTCACCTGGCTCCAGATCCTCTGTATGCATCTGGGGAGGGCAAAAACAGCCTTTCCCACCCCCTCGGAGGCCCTCTGGAGGCCTCAAACAGCCCATTTCCTAACACGTGATGGGACAGGAAGTGATATTTTTTGCTGTCCCCAGCCTCCAGAGCCTCTCTAGGACTGGACTGCCAGTTGTCAGAAATGGTATAGGGTCTCCTGCTTGAGCAGGGGATTGAACTAGATGACTTACAAGATTCATTCCAACTCTGTTGTTCTGTTCTGTTCTGTTCTGTTCTGTTCTGTCCCGTCCCGTCCCGTCCCGTCCCGTCTCCTCCCCTCCCCTCCCCTCCCCTCCCCTTCCCTTCCCTTCCCTTCCCTTCCCTTCCCTTCCATTGGAAACACAGGACTCGTTCTCACTCTCTCACACACACACAAATACACACAAACCACAGGCACTATTTTCTGGATGAGGAGTTCTAGGATTTTTTTTTAAAAAAAAAGTTTCTGTGACTGAAAACATTTGAACCCCTCTCCCCGACCTAGTTCCCCATAAGGCCACTATAAGCCTAAGAAGCTAGATTAAACAAACATCCCAGCTATTCAGCACATCCTTAATGTTGTCCTGTGCCAACCAGAGGCTGATGGGAAACACCCAAAGCAAGGCACAAATGTAATAGGTCTGTTTTCTACCCTACAATTGTAGATGTAACAGGTGCTGTACAACTGTATAGATTTAAAAGACAGCAGTGAAACTCATGGACAATGGAGACCAATAATGGCTATCTATTTGAATCACCTGGAAGAAAAAATATCATTATGACTGCAATTCCAACTCAGTCATATGGAGCTAGGTACACTTTAGCATACAGTTGTGTAGTTGTGCAAATATTCAGGTAATCAGATTTAGATTACTGTACATTATATCATTATTAACATGTCGGAGACCTCAAAATCCTGATTGCCAATTCATTGAAAGGAGAAAAAAAATAGAGGAGTATAATTCTTGTAATTATTTTCCCTACATCCCCACTATAGCAATATAGTAATAGCACTTAGACTTATATACCGCTTCATAGTGCTTTTACAGCTGTCTCTAAGCGGTTTACAGAGTGAGCATATTGCCCCCAACAATCTGGGTCCTCATTTTACCCACCTCAGAAGGATGGAAGGCTGAGTCAACCTTGAGCCTGGTGAGATTTGAACTGCTGAACTGCTGAACTGCAGCTAGCAATCAGCTGAAGTAGCCTGCAGTACTGCACTCTAACCACTGCGCCACCTCAGCTCTTAAAAGTGGGTTGTTTTTTTTTTTTGGGTGACATCTTGGATTGATATTAGTTATTAGGTTTTTTTAAAAAAATTACTTATGTTATGCATTAAGTTAAACAATAATTGTATATTTTGCTTTTGCATAGTTCCATAATTGGAAAGTCTGTTGCCTCCAGCTGCCTTTTCAAAATCTGTTCTGTCTTCTGCACCTTCTGCATGTGCTCACAGAAGCACATAATGTCATTGCTCTGATGATCAATGCACTCCTTTTCGTGGGACAGGCTAGAATCATAGAATCAAAAAGCTGGAAGGGACTCGAAGATCTTTTAGTCCAATCCCATGCCCAGGGCAGAAGACATTTTTCTATCCTGGACAAATGGCTGTCCAATCTTTTTTTGATGCTGTAGTTTGTACCTGAGGTCACGTTTCTAGAATTCTGAACCAGGGACGTGGTTACTTACGTGGTGAAATTTGCCAGGTTCTGAATAACCTTGGCCACCAGGGTGAGGGTGCGGGAGGTGGTGTCATCGGGGTATTTCTGGGTAAGGCCAAAAAGGCTGGGGGACATAATGGCTGGACAAAGGAAGCGTAAGAATAGAGAAGCAGAGACAAGCCGCTGGCCAATGTCCACCTTGCCCCGCAACTGGCACTCCTCCTGCCAGGCTGTGAAGATCTCGCTAAGCTCAGCTGGAAAGGAGCTGCAGAGAGAAAGGAGAAGACAGGCTGAAAGAAAGCCTAAAGGCATACTGATGACCACTGATCCAGACAGTTGTTACAGCCATGTCTTCTGGCTAAACAACCTTGCCTGGATATATTGAACTTTGTTTCAGAGTATGCTTGGGTCTGGATGGAGTGATCAACCACAACAATTTGCCTATAGCCAGCCCAGGGACTTTGCTCAAAAACATCTGAGGATCTAACTTGTAGCCAATTCAACTTATTACTGCAAAGTCATTTTCGTATATTCTCACGTGAAGGTGAGCTGCTTACACTAAGATAAGGGTAAATTGCAAATGTATACTCATTATACTTAACTTTATATGCTAAACCTATTCTAGCAGAACAACCATTTTTCTATTCATTTGGGCCTATAGGCTGTGTGCTAGATGAGCCACCAAAGGTCCTGTCAGCTTTGGAAGCCATATTAGCTCTAGAAGCTTCCACGCTGCCACTTTCTCCTGTGTGGGAAAGTAGGAGGGGGGATTTAGTAGAGAGAATGTATTTAGACAAAATAGCATTCTTCCTTTTGGTCAAGGTCAGGATAATCCTGCATCTGGAGAAGGAGTGGTTGGTGTGATGTCTCGAGATGGGACGGATGCTGTTTGGGGCATGTGATCGACTGATGAGTGAGGGGATGGTTTTGGCGGTTTTGATTTACTGAGGGAAAACCCGGAACTCTCAGATTTGGGTTTTCCCAGATGTGCCAGTATACCTACTTCAATAAATGGTACTTTGAGAAAATGCTTGCTTCTGAGTTTTTAATTGGAGTTGGAGTTTTCTGGAATGCTGACAGGTCCTAGATCAGGCCCTTTTGGTTCAGCCATTTGGGAAATCAGCAGTCCAGAAATTCCTCTACAAAGCAGATCTGGCTTCCCCTCAGTGATGGCAAGAGAGAAAACTCCCTGGCCACCCTGGTTGATACTCAAGTACGCACTTGCTGGACATAGCAATCCTTAGGAAGACTTCTTCGCAGAGTTGCTGCAGATGGTTGCGATTGTCAGCCAGGTCACGGGGAGGGCATTTGCTTGGGTCCACTTCACAGCAATCCTCCAAAAAGTTTGGCTGGGTTATAATATCACCTGTGAGACATTCCCCCATAGGTTACTGTTAGGTGACTGGGATGGCATAGATGCTTGCAGAGCCACTGTTCTGGGCCATAACCCACAATGGTATTTCTAACTTAGTTTCTTGCCTCCAATTAGAAACACTGACAGCCTTTTTGATGAGCCTATCATTGCTTATTAAAGACATAATGATAGTCATATTCTAGCAATGCTAATGATGAATTTAGCTAGTTTTCAGGGTCCCTTTGAACTGTACAGAACCAAAGCAGTGGGAGACAGTTTTTTTATTTTTTATTTTTTTTTATTTATTTTTTTTTTAAATTTGATTTATATGCCGCCCTTCTCCGGAGACTCAGGGCGGCTTACAATGCGTTAAGCAATAGCCTTCATTCTTTTGTATGTTTTATACAAAGTCAGCTTATTGCCCCCACAAACTGGGTCCTCATTTCACCTACCTTAGAAAGGATGGAAGGCTGAGTCAACCTTGAGCCTTGGAGAGATTCGAACCAGCAGAAATTGCAGGCAGCTGTGTTAATTACAGGGTGCACTAAACCCCTGTACTATCAAGGCTCTATCAGACATAGATTTCTCTTACCATGTTGACTCACAATTCACCTTATTACTATGTAATGATTATAGGCATTACCCCTCAGTGCATTTTTGTTAGTATTATAAAGCAGAGTTTCTAAGTTAACTTACTTAATGTGGCCAGCAGGTATGGGCTTCCCACCAGCTTCATGTATTCATCAATGGCCTTGGTGGCTAGTGTGTTTTCACGAAAAATCAAAGCTTCCCGGTCATCAAAACGGTCCAGCTCAGCTACGCCTAAGTCAATGAGAAAATCCTGCAATGAAGATGGGAAGGGAATCAATATAATAAATCCCATTCTGTTTTGCGTTCACATTTAAAACCCACTTTCATCCAAGCTCAGGATGTTAGGGAAAGGGTAAAATGATACCAGGTTTTTCTCCTGTGGACCTGAGAGCCACCTTGGCAGCTAAAAGAATAATCCTACTTCACCAGGTGATCTAGCAATAAAACAGCCCATGAGGGAAAAATCAGCATGATAGCATGAAGAAAATTCTCATGATGAATCTAGATATCAGGTTGTTTCTCAGGATCTTAATACCAGTCTGCCTATTAGTAAAATAAATGATACCTTGGCTTTGCCTGTGCTTTGCAAGACTCGCACTAGGACACTCATCAGCTCTTCCTTGTCTCTGGCACTGAGGCTGGACTCCAATGAAGCACATAACTCCCGATAATGGAAAGTGAGATATTCAGCAAATTCTTTGTACTGTACAATGGGCAACACTTTGAAATTGCAGTATCGTCCTCGGAGTCGAAGGGTGGGCATGTTTGGCTTCTCTTTGCCCAGTGGGTACCATCTCTCCAAGGGCTGGTGCATAGCAGCCAACTCCTTTAGGGGAACAGACATACTGACAATGGGGCTCTCCTTTGGCCACAGCCCTTCTTCTTCCTGTACCAGGCAGACCTGTAGTTCCACAGCTGGTGGAAGAGTCTTGAGGTCAAAGTGCTCGCCCCAGAAGAGAGTTCCTATGGGACTGGCTTGCTTGGCTGTTGTGCGGGCATACAGGACCCCATCCAATTGGATTTCACAGTAGTAGTGCTTCCTGGGAGACAAGTCTCGGGCTTCATATACCCAAAGACTTAACCTATGTTCCATCCGTTGGCAGTTGTCCTGGAAAATGGATGCATGAGACAATATTAAGAGGTGGGATTGGATGCAAAACAAGACGTGCTACAACTTGCATAATGTGGCACCTTTATTGATGTGTTGGACTGCAATTCCTATGAAAGCCACACTTCTTCTATAAGTGCTGAAGACAACTGTTGTCAAGTGCAAGAAATTAGGAGTCCAGGCAGTTCAAATGAATATATATAAGCTTATTGAATACTAAAGCTCTCCAAGAATCTGAACTACTAACGGTCAAAATAAATTGGTGGTAGATCAGAGTCAATGGAATTCAAGATGCGATGGACTTTAACTCTCTTATGGGCATGAAGGGACTCGAGACTGATGATGTGTTTGACTCTCCCTTGAGCTCAACCAGCTACAACTATGTGGTAATACACAAAACTTTTAGATATGAAGGTGAAGTCACAAAGAGAAGGCAAGAAACAAACAGGATTAGGTCCAAGCAGATGAAAGATTAAGGATTTGCTGGTGGGAGTAGTGGGTAGATCAGTAGTGGGTTTCAATTTCGTTCGCTACCGGTTTGCTTGTGGGCGCGTGCGCACACATGCGTGATGCTTCTGTGCATGCGCAGAGACATCCGGGTGGGTGGGCGGAGCCTCCCGCAGCTGCTGCTACCAGTTCACCCTATCTGGGGCGAATCAGTAGCAACTCATCACTGGGGTAGACACACAAGTGGGAGAGGCTGGAGGGGCCTGTCAGTGCTTACAAGCACTGCCAGCTCTTTATGACTTCTTGGTCATAAAGACTAGAATTTCTGCTTTAGATGAAAGACTGAGACAAGAACAGAGACCATGGCAGAAGAGTAAGGAATATTTTTTACAAGGAAAAGATACAGTGAGAAAGAAGGTGGTGTGGGTGAAAGGAGTTTCCTATGGAAAAGTATGTTCATTTTACGAACAGTACAAGTCAAAACTACTTTACCATACTGGGCTGGACAGCTTGACGTAAGTTCTCCATCCAATGGGTTCTCTCAGCAGCAGATGAACAGTTAAAGCAGTAGCGTTTCCCAGCCCTCAGGACCTAAGAGAGGAGAACTCTAGTTAAGACATGCCCTGGGCCAGGCTGGTCTCTTTTATCATTCAGGGGGTAACAGTCCCTTTGTCAGGATTAACAAAGTGAGGGAGCAGTAAGCAGCTGAAATACTGCTTACTGAATGATTCATGACCGCATGATTCATGATTGCCAAAAGAGCAGGGGTTCATATTTATCTTGAGATACCAGACTGAGCTGGTTTGCCATGACTATCAGAGAGCAGAGAACACTTATGTTTATGCAGTTTAGGCAGCAAGATGTTTTGGGCTGCAGCTGCCCTGTGACAAAGGGTATACTGTACAAGTTAAGCCTTTTATAGGCTTTTATAGATCCTGGCAGCCAAGAACTTCCTGAAGTCCTTCATTTAGCCAGAACAACTTTATGGATGAATGGAGTATTAACAGCAGATTAAGTTTCAATCTGAAGGTAGGTGAATTTCCAGGAGCACTTGCAGAATGTAGAAATATTTCATTACTGAATCAAGTGATGAAATAATATGTAATTATTCTATACCTCAAAGCAGTGCTGCTCTCCCACAAGGCTGCTATGAAGTGGTCGGATCAAGACATCTTTTTCATTGCTCAGGTCCAGGGTGAGAGCTGGGCCAGGCAAGGCCTCCCTGTAGGAAGCAACAGAAAGGCCAGGACAGAATAAGAAATAGAATGTGTCCATGAACTCCAGGGCATTTGCAAAGATCAATCATTATTTGGACCTGGACCTGTTGCTATTCAGAAATTATTTTCAGATCATCAGTTAACTGCGGAAGCCATTGTAGGCCTGCTCTTCCTGCTAGGATTAGCCTAGAACTGAGTGAGACACCAGAAGAGGAGGAGTCCTGTCCAAAGACTCAAAAGATTCAACTATAGTCAACCTCCAACCTTCTCCAACCATATCTTGGAAAAGAGGCTTTGCTTCAGAATTCAGGGAGTCAGTGATTCATTATCTTGTAGACCTGCCAAGATCATTTTTAGAAGCAGAGGTGTAGGCATACCTGAGCAAAGTCCAAAGATCACACTTTGAACCCAGAAGTCTATTTGGGATGAGGAAATGGGAAATGTATTCCAGAACAAGGCCCTGATGATAAGTCACAAATGAAGCAAACTGTGAAAATGATTGATTGGGCTCAAGCCAGAGCTGAAGTAACAGATAAACTTGCTGTACTCCATGTGTTCATCTTTTTAACAGTGCACCTGCTTTTCTGGACTCCCCTACCAGACAGTTCCTGAGTAAGTGGAGACATTTAACTAACTTCTTAGAACTAAGCAGGTTTGGCCCAAGTTAGAAATGACTTGGAAGACCATCTGGAATGTGAGAGCTATTATCTAGACTGGAAAGTTGAAAAAACATCCTGGAGGATTGGATGGTAAAGTGCTTCCGTAATGCTGCCCCAAAAACTGCACGGATGGAGTCAGCTTGATTCAAAGGCATCTTTACATTTACCAGCTAGTTCTTCGGCCTTTTCATCTAGCTGAAATTTGGGCCAAATGTCAGGTAGGGATGAGAAACGCAGGCAAAAAAATCACGATAAAACGAGTTATACGATGTGTCCAGTCAATTAAATATGCTTTAGAAACCATGAGTTACTGCAGGATAATTTTTTTTTAAAAAAATTCAACCATTCAGGAGTAGAGACAGCAGGAGTACCTGCAATTTATCAGTCTTTGAGAGGTAACGCTGATTCTCAATGTTTCTCAATCATATTTTGAATCTTCCTAACAATCTTCTGACAGCAGCATTTTTATTATGTCTGGATAGTGCTCAGTTTGTTTGCTAGATATGAGAAGCCCTTTGTTCCACTGCTGGAATATTAGGAGTTCTGGGGACAGCTATGACTGCTACTGCCACATGCTGCCTTAAGGCAGCAGTAAATTAGTAATAATAAAAGAGTAAACATAGCATTCTTTCATGGCATTTTAAGCTATCAGGAAGACACTGATCTAGCAACCTTTTATATGCCATAATAGTTACAGTACTTTATAAAGATGCTTTCAGTCTTAAAATTTTATTTTCTCTTGCACAATTCTCCAATATTTTTCTGTTATAAAACATTCAGATCTTTTGTTTTGGGTTGGACTATCAGTCTCCCCCATTTCACATGAACCCCTGCCCCCCCCACCAAGTATGGCCCATCTAGAAAGCACTGAATTGGGGAAATCTGGATTTAATGAATGGAAGCTCAGACAATACACAAATAACATTCTGGGGCCATATCTCAAACTCATTGTCAGGATACCAGCTGAAACATAAAGAATAGGATGAGGCCATCACATCTAAACCAATATGTTCAGTAAAATAAAGTGAATCAAGAAAGAGGCGCATAAGATAAGGCACAAGATGAGAATTCCTGTTGGAGCCTACCTATTGTCATTCACAACAGATTCACCTGAGGAATCAGTGTTAGGATGGACCCGTCCCTTCCGATCTCTGAACCGTCTCCAAAGCATCCCCTGGAAATAGGATGAGAAAAAGGAATAATTATGAGGATTTTCCTACCCTTGAAGTAAAGGAGCATAGCTGAAAGAAAGCTAGAATTTTTTTGGCCCAGTGTTCTTCCAGCCTTTCACAAGCCAATCCAGGCAATGTCTCTCACAGCAGAGAGCAAGAATAAATGGGCTATGCCTTAGCAAAATACTTGTGGAGCAGTTAAGACCAATTGATCCAAGCCACATATCATATCCAAAGACAGCACCTCCCAAATGAATGTCCCTCAAGGTCTCAAATGTTGATTTTTGACTTTAATGTGGGAACTTTGGAAATAATGCAGCTAGACACAAATGACTGAGCAATTGGTGGAGGAGAGATGAAGCAGAAGGGTACAATGATCTGCGTTGACCGAGGGAGGACAAGAATAATGTAGCAAGCTGCTATAACTGTGAAGTAACATTCCTAGAACAGGATTTTTATTCCAGATTCTGGAACACCTGGGGAACACTAAACTAGGGAAAGCAGGACCACAGAGAAACCCTGAGAAGCTAGAAGCTAAGAGAGTGTCTTTACTTGACTTTCTTGCCCTGCCTACCCCTCTCCCCCATGTCTCTTGTACCTTCACATTGCCAAGCTGTGTGCCCGAAGAAGCATCCTGGAAAGCCTTTTTCTCAGGAGCATGTCCTCCTATGAAAAACTCTGCTGGAACAAAGTAAGTTAAATAGAAGTCAAACACAGTGAAACAGCTGGGGGACGAAGGAGTTATAGAATCAAAGCATTGGAAGGAACTTTTGAAGCTTTTCTAATCCTGCTTAATTCTGGTATCATCTCAGAGAAGTTTACTAAGCTTTTCTTGAAAACTTCATTGATAAAACACCTATAACTACAGGAAAGAGGCCTTTTCTTAATAGCTCTCATACTCAGGAAATTCTTCCTTATTTCAGATTTGAACTTCCCTCTTTAAAGGTTCTACCCATTGCCCTTTTTCTATCTTGGGTATTACAGAGAATAAATCCACATCTTATTTCTTGTAATAGTTCTTATAGTATTGGAAGACTGCTGTCATGTCTTCCCTTAGCCTTCTCTTTCTTAGGCTGAAGAGTTCTTATAACCATTCTTCATAGGATTTAACTTCAAAGTCTTTGTCACTCTTCTCTGCATTCTTTCCAGTTCCTCAGTATCCTTCTTGTACTGTAGAAATTCAAACTGGCCATAGTATTCCAGATATGCTATGCCCAGTACAGCACAGGGCAAAACTATCACATCCCATGATCCTAACAGTATATAAGAATGCAGTGGTTCTTTTCATAGCTGCAATACATTGCTATCTTGTGCTTAATCTGTGGTCTATTAGGGTACTCAAATCCTTCATGTAAGTACGACTGTTGAGGCAGATACAACCTGTTTTGCTACCCAAATGCAAAGACTTAATATTCTTGCCACTGAACTTCAATTACCAAAAGGCAAAAAGATATGATGCTGGAAGATGAGCCCCTCAGGTCAGAAGGTGTCCAATATGCTACTGGGGAAGAGCAGAGGGCTAGTACTAGTAGCGCCAGAAAGAGTGAAGTGACTGGGCCAAAGCCGAAAAGACACTCAGCTGTGGAAGTGGTAAGAGGCGTGCCGGCTGGGAAGTGGTCATGCTCCCTTGGAAGAAGTGGCTGGAGAGGGTTGCACCAACCTTTGCCAGCATGAATGGCCATGCTGGATGCTGCTTGAAGCTTGAGGCTGGTGGGAGGAGGAGGAGGGGCAGACTGTTCGTGCTGGCAAAGTTTGGTGCATGGCTGAGTGAGCGGAAGAAGGCGAAGCCAGTAGAAGTGGCTGCTGAGTGCAGGGTGTGCATGTGTGTCCTTGGGACATGGAGAAGCCAGTTGGGTTTGGATTGCGGGATGGGGGGGTGCTGAAAAGTTAACCCTTGACTCTCTGCAGATCCCCCCTACCCACCTACCAGCGCCTGGATAGGGTTGCTGAAAGTATAGGCACTTGTAAATTAATATCTGGTTGCAGTGCAGGTTCAGTTCATGTCTGAAACCACTGAAGAGAGATCGTTGGCTCAGCTGGCGGTGCAGCGGCAATGTGGTGCGTGTGGCTCTCTTGGGTTTGGGCTTGGTCTTGATCTTGATCTTTGAACATTTACATACAGAGCACTCTAGATAGTTTTTACAGCTCTTTATTTTTAAACCGTTTGAACACTCAAGCATTTTTTGGATAACTGGGAAACTGGCGTGACCTAGCTTCCGGTGTAGTAAGTGGGCACAATCATCGTGCATGGGCTTGCCAATGCACAATTTCCCTTTGTGTGTTGCCTCATGCGTTTGTTTACTCCCTGTATTGTCCTCTGCCTTATCCCCCTCTATTTCCTCGTTGTCATCTACTTCATCTTCGTTGCTTTCTGTGTGTATGTTTTGGCATGACTGTGGTTCCCTTTCGGGTTGGAGGTATGTTAGCCCTCCCTCGATAATTATCTTACCTATGTCCTTATTGTCCCTAGTCATGTAGGCTCTTCCCCCTTCAAAAGTGGTTTTGATGCCTGTGTCCTTGCTCAGCCTGAGGGTCGCTAGTATGTTGCGTGGTATTCCGGGTACGAGTAATACCCCCTCTAATTTCCCTACTCCGTTTATGTAGGTGTTGCCCCTGCCCGTTACTAGGACCCTGTCCTGGTTTGCTACTTTTATGTAGTAATTCTCTTTTGTGAATGCTGTAAGTATTTCCCTATTGTTAGTCGTGTGATTGGTAGCCCCTGAGTCTATAAGCCATGCATCTCTCAATTGGGTGTGTGTGTTTTCCTGGTCTCCAAGTCCATACATAGAACCTGTCTGGCTTTCCCTGGAGCTATCTCTCCGCCCTCTTCTGTCCCTCGGGTTGGGGGAGTCTCTACGCCTATACCTGTTGTCAGATGCGTGTCTGTCAGGGAAGCCTGGCCTCCGTCCTTGCCTTTCCCTATCCTTGGTGTTTCTGGGGCAGTTCCTCTTATAGTGGTTCCTGGAACCATAAGTGTAGCACTCTGGAGTGTTGTGTTCCCTGACCTGAAAGTCGACCCTTTTGGTTGTCCTGCCTTCCCTGCGACTTGTGTAACGGTCTCTCCTTAGGCTGTCCTCCGTTATTAATTTATTTGTGAGTGTCTCTAGTGTGAGGTGCTCTAGACTGAGGCTATCCAGTTGCGTTATGAACCCGTCCCAGCTAGAGTCAAGTGAATTAATTATAATACTTTTCATGCTCTCATCTGATATTGCCTCCCCTCTCTGTATGAGCTCTAATCTAGTAACGTTTAGGTTCAGTATGTGTTCCCCCATTGGTGTGCCAGCCTTGTGTCTAGCAGAATAAAATTCCCTAGAGATCTTGGTTGTTGTGGCTACACTCCTGCTGTAAAATAGGTTGTGTATTTTTTGTAATATTTCTGGTACTGTTAGGTGGTGGCTAAGGCTAGGAGAAATACTTGTGATAAATATATAAAAAGCCCTATGGTGTAGGTAGTCCACCTCAAAGGTCCAGGGTTTTCTAGGGGGGGGGTCACTGATTAAAAATAACATATCCTCTCTTAGAAAAATAATTTGGAGCTGCTGATTCCAATCAAAAAGATTTGTCCCATCTGGTTTAAGTTTCTGGAAGTCAGCAGGCAATGTCACAGCACTATGTGTGGAGTTACTCACATTCTGTTGCTGTCCATGGTTCTTTATGTGAGGGAACTCACAATATGGCACAGGGACGCTTGGTATTGCTCTGTATAGACTTGTATCTATGTTCCTTTCTTCTCTTATTGTAGGCGGCTCCTGTGCATGCTCGGGGATCATTCTCGTCCGGCAGTCGCTGTAGAAGGTGCTCGTGTTCATGGCTCCTGGTAGAAGGCCCCAAACTGCAGGATGGCTCCATGGCTCGGCCCTGGGCGGTCTCAGTCGGTCGTGGTCCTGCCGGAAGGTCCACTGGGTCATCCATCGGGTGCATCGTGGTGGTCGTCGGCCTCGTGAAGCTCGGTCGGGCGTCCAGATGACTCGGCCCGGTGCGGAAGGCTTGGATCAGGTCCGGGTTGCAGCTCTCGCGGCTGGTGGTCCTGGGTGGCTCGGAGTAGGCCTTCGGATCGGTAAGTGGTGGGCGATTCCCCAGGGATCGGAGGGGTGCCCCGGGCGTAGCCTATAGGGGTCCCCGGTGGGTGGCGGTGGATGTTGTGCCCAGTTTGCGAGGGCGGCGTGGTCTGGGTAGGTCTCCTCTGGGGCCCTTAGGTTGCCGGTTGTTCTTTCAGGGCCCACGGGTGTCCTTTGGTGCGGGCCTGGCAACTTGATTTTGTCGCCAAAGGCCGCGGTCAGCACCCACATGGCCTTGTCTATTTCTAGCTCGGTAGGCAAGCTAGCTGGTTCCTCTCTCCACCACTTTTGATTGATCGTGGGGTTCTCTTTGGCGGCTCGAGGGTAGGCCTCGGTTCCCGCCAGAAAATTCAAATCTTGAGCCCCCATTGGTCGTTGGTCGGCCATCTTGGGTGATGTCATTTTCCAAGATGGCCGCCATGGGGAAAATGTCTTTTTGTCCCCTGTTTCTTCAGCGGGAAAATGTTTTGGGGTGTTTTGCCTACCGTGTCCTCTTCTCCATGGTCGGGTCCGGTCTCTTCCTCCCTCGTCACTGCTCCACAGTCCTCGATCAGGGCCCGGAGTTTCGCGGTGAGTTTCGGGTTGTTTGGTGCCGCCTCAATGAGGTCTAGCAACTTGGATTTCAAATCGCTTTTCTCTTTTTCTTTGATTGCATCGTCGTCGTCTCTCTCGTGTCTTGCTGGGGTGCTAGGGGTGGAGCTCTGCTCATTCTCGTCTGCCATCTCCTTCTGCAAGGCCTCTGCAGTGGATGCTTGTGCTGCCATGCTCTTCAGGTATGCTCGGGTGTTCGGTCTCCTCTCCTTTTCAGTCAGTTTGGAGATTCCTTGCATACCTTGTTTCGATTGGGTTATAAACCATCCTCTGCTACCATATTTGTTACAGGTTTCCAAGGATCTAACCCAATGATTCTAACACGAGGTAAGCTTGATTCAAGGTATCTTTATTTATATCATGTTTCTATTACAGGTAATCATCTGGAATGAACCTGGGACCCCTGGACTGTACCTTTTATACCTGGGAGGCGGAGCTAAGGTAAGGAGGGGTCAAGGGAAGGGTCCGGTAGGTAGATGTTAACCCCTGCTATGCCATAGACAAGGCGTGTTAGGCATTTATATCTAACAGGCAAACATGGTGGAGGTCGGGCAAGGGGCCCAACCGCCACCCAACCCCCACAATGCCGGAGAAGGACCAGAAGGGCAGCCAGGGTTTCTCCTTTTCCATGCCCTGAAATCTTTTGAGACTAAGAAGAATCTTAAATCTCTCAGGAGAGATCGGGACCGGGGTGCTTATTTGCCGAATCAATTTTTCAGAAGGAAAAGAGAGAGGGAGGTGGGGGTGGGGAGGGAGGGAGGGAGGGAGAGAGAGGGAGAGAGAGAGAGAGAGAGAGAGAGAGAGAGAGAGAGAGATTCAGATTCTTCAGGTATCAGTTTTAATTTAGTCTCAAAAGATTTCAGGATTTCATGCCTCCGTCTGCCTGTCTCTCGGCGAGGAAGCTTCCTGGACAGGCAGCCGAAAGCTCCATGTGGATGCCACCAATCACAAGCTTCCAAGGGAACGGCTCGGCTATTTCAAAGCGAGCAGCCGGGAAGCCGAGAGATAGGCAGATGGATGCTGTGCACGCTCTTGCCTCACTCGCCAATTGAAAACAGCGCTAAGCTGCGGAGAGTGGCAAACTTCACAGTTGAAAGAGGCTGAGTCAGCCAGGGGGAAAGGGAGGTGTGTAGTGCCACTCCCCCTTATAAGCACAGAGTCCATCTGCCCCTCTCTTGGTGAGGAAGCTTCCCGGCCGCTCGCTTCGAAGTAGCCGAACCGTTCCCTTGGAAGGGAAGCAGGCGCCCCCGGGGTTCGTGATTGGCGGCCTCCACATGGAGCTTTCGGCTGCCTTTCCCTGGAGCCCTGAGGCATAGCAACTGCCTGCTCCTCCCTCTCTGCCTCCCGCCCACCCTCAACCCCGCATCAATGTTTCGGAAGCATTGGGGAAAGTTTGTGTGTTGCACTCGGGGCAGGAAAGCAAGCCACCGCTGTCGCCAGCATCATGGCGAGCAGGCCAGCTGGATTGGAAAAGGCCGCCCGACCAGCTCCCTACTCCTCCAACAGCTCGCTTCTTCCCCAGAGAAGGGACAGTGGTGTACAGCAGAAGTGCTCTCGGCCCCAACAGGGAAGGTCCGAACGCGCTTGGACTCCTCCCTGCAGGGAGCCGCAGGCTGCAGGGGGAAGGGCAAGAGCGACTGGCCGGCTCAGGTGCATGGGGCAGCATTTGCTGGCTGGGTGGCTGGCTGCCCCATCCGTTGCTCCTTTCCCAGTGTTGGCTCAGCTGGCAGTGCAGCAGCAGGTATGACGGGGGTCAGGTGACAGGCCCAACCACAGGCAGTGTAGTGGTGAGTGTCGGGTGGGGGTGCCACGCCAAGCCAGGGAACGGTGGTTCCCATGGGGAAGGAGCCCAGGCAAGCTGTGCATTCAGAGCTCACTGGCTGCTGCCAAAGCCCCACCAGCCACACTGCTCAGACTGCAGCTCCCAGTAGGGAGGAGCCCAGGCAAGACCAGGAGCTGACTGTGGCTCAGATCATGAGCTTCTCGTTGCAATATTTAGATATAATTGAAGAAAGTAGGGAAAAGCACTAGGCCACTCAGATATGAACTAAATCATATCCCTCATGAATATACAGTAGAGGTGACAAATACAGTAGATTTAAAGAATTAGATCTGATAGACAGAGTGCCTGAAGAACTATGGACGGAGGTTCGTAACATTGTACAAGAGGTAGCAACTAAAACCATCCCAAAGAAAAAGAAAGGCAAGAAAGCAAAATGGTTGTCTGAGGAAGCTTTACAAATAGCTGAGGAAAGAAGGGACACAAAAGGCAAGGGAGAAAGAGAAAGATACACCCAGTTGAATACAGAATTCCAGAGAGAATAGCTAGAAGAGATAAGAATGCATTCTTAAATGAACAGTGCAAAGAAATAGAAGAAAACAATAGAAGGACCAGACATCTCTTCAAGAAAATTGGAGATATGAAGGGAACATTTCATGCAAAGATGGGCGTGATAAAGGACCAAAATGGCACGGACCTAACAGAGGCAGAAGAGATTAAGAAGAGGTGGCAAAATTACACAGAAGAACTATACAAGAGGGAGCTTAACATCCCTGATACCCCTGAATGGGGTAGCCATTGACCTCAAGCCAGACATCCTGGAATGTGAAGTCAAATGGGCCTTAAGAAGTCTGAGCAACAACAAAGTTAGTGGAGGTGACAGTATTTCAGCTGAGCTATTCAAAATCTTAAAAGACGCTGCAGTAAAAGTGCTACACTCAATTTGCCAGCAAATTTGGAAAACTCAACAGTGGCCACAGGATTGGAAAAGGTCCGTTTACATTCCAATTCCAAAGAAAGGCAATGCCAAAGAATGTTCAAACTATTGCACCATTGCACTCATTTCACATGCTAGTAAGGTTATGCTTAAAATCCTATAAGCTAGGCTCCAGCAGTATGTGGATTGAGAACTACCAGAAGTACAGGCAGGATTTCAAAGAGGCAGAGGAACTAGAGATCAAATTGCCAACATACGCCTGGATCATGGAGAAAGCTAGGGAGTTCCAGAAAAACATATACTTCTGCTTCATTGACTATGCTAAAGCATTTGATTGTGTGGATCACAACAAATTGTGGCAAGTTCTTAAAGAGATGGGAGTACCAGACCATCTTATTTGTCTCTTGAGAAACCTATATGGGGGTCAAGAAGCAACAGTGAGAACTGGACACGGAACCACTGTTTGGTTCAAGATTGGGAAAGAAGTCCGGCAAGGCTGCATACTGTCACCCTGCCTATTTAACTTATATGCAGAGCACATCATGAGAAAAGTGGGGCTAGATGAACCAAAAGCTGGAATTAAGATTACCAGGAGAAATATCAACAACCTCAGATATGCAGATGATACCACTTTAATGGCAGAAAGTGAAGGGGAACTAAAGAGCCTCTTGATGCGGGTCAAGAAGGAGAGTGCAAAACGTGGCTTGAAACTCAACATTAAGAAAACTAAGATCATGGCATCTGGCCCTCTCAATTCCTGGCAAATAGATGGGGAAGAAATGAAGGTAGTGCCAGATTTTATTTTCCTGGGCTCCACGATCACCACAGATGGGGACTGCAGCCAAGAAATTTAAAGACGTTTGCTCCTGGGGAGGAAAGCTATGGCAAATCTAGACAGCATACTAAAAAGCAGAGACAACATCCTGCCAACAAAAGTGCGTATAGTCAAGGCTATGATTTTCCCAGTTGCAATGTATGACTATGAAAGTTGGACCATAAGAAAGGCTGAGTGCCAGAGAATTGAGGCCTTTGAACTATGGTGCTGGAGAAGACTCCTGCGAGTCCCTTGGACTGCAAGGCGATCAAACCGGTCAGTCCTAGAGGAGATCAACCCTGACTGCTCTTTAGAAGGCAAGATCCTGAAGATGAAACTCAAATACTTTGGCCATCTAATGAGAAGGAAGGACTTACTGGAGTCCTTCCTTCTCATTAGAGAAGAATGGGATGACAGAGAATAGGGTGGCTGGATGGAGTCACTGAAGCAGTAGGTGTGAGCTTAAATGGACTCCAGAGGATGGTAGAGGACAGGAAGGCCGGGAGGAACATTGTCCATGGGGTCGCAATGGGTCAAACACGACTTTACAACTAACAACAACAACAGCAAATTTAAGCTCCATGAAACCCAAACTTGAGCACCTTAGGAGTAAGTATCCCATCAAACCCCATAGTGTTGGCTTCAATGCTACTGGGTGAGTGGTGAGAGATGTAAGAGAGGGATGGTCAAATATCAGGGTTTCTTACTTTCTAAAAGTTCAACCCAAGGGAATATCAATCTCTCAATCCTCTAGAACAGGGGTGTCAAACTCGCGGCCTGCGGACTGGATGCATCACGTGCTGGCCACGCCTACACCTGCTTTAGTGAAGGGGAAAAAGTTGTGATACATCACGTGACACCCCCATGACGACGCACGTTTGACACCCTGCTCTAGAAGATATGGAAATCCCCATGCATTAAACTCTTTTGCAATTTTTCGCCTCTTTGGGTTTTAACTGGTGCAAGTTCCTAACATCCAAGCCTTGAATGGAAATTTTGCCTTTTGCCATCCCAACCACAAGAAACCCCTGTCTGAAGAACCAGTAAACTATTTACATATGATGATCTACCAGAAGACCAATGGGTCTATCTCCTGGTAATATCTCAAAAGAAAGGGAAAAATGAGGCATTTACTAAGGGTCTAAAATGGCTAGCTGTGTAGATTAAAGTGCTAATCCCAGTTAAATGTCTGGTCATTCTTGCAGACAAGACAAAATGACAAGAGCATCACAGTGCCAAGCAGTCCTGCTGCTCACTATTCAACTCCAAGGAAACAGTTAATATGCTTAAGAAATACTTGATATCAATAATAGAGTGAATGAGAGAGAACAAGTTGAAATTAACACTCACTATTCTCCTTATCTGGTCGGAATATTGAGTTATTCTCTGAAACAGAACTGCTGGTTCGTTTCTGCTTTTCAAGCAGATTCTAAAACAGAAAAGAGAACTCTGTAGGTAGATTCACTATTTTGATATATTATTTTATCATACTGATTTGCATATAGGTGTAATAGATCAACTGATGATGCTATGTCTATTGTTGTCTATACTGTATTGAATCATTTGGAACAACAGGGAACATATGTAAGATTGTTATTTATGGATTATAGCTCTGCCTTTCACATCATTCTACCCAACAGGTTGTTTCTTAAAATGTCCAATTTGGGTATAAATCAGAGGATTTGTTTGTGGATAAAGGATTTTCTGACAGATAGGCCACAGTCAGTAAGGATGGGATCTCACCATTCTTATTCTCTGATACTAAACACAGGAGCCCCCCAGCTTTGTGTGCTAAGCCCCTTCCTTTATTCCTTGTATACACATGACTGCACCCCATTGTATAAACACCAATGCAATTAGTAAATTTGCGGATGACATGACAATGCTCATTAATAAGAACAATGAGTCTGCTTATAGAAAGGAAGTACAAGGGCTGACATTGTGGTGTAAAGAAAATAACCTTATACTTAACACCAAAAAAACTAAAGAACTTATAATTGACTTCAGGAGGAAGAGAGATGTACATTTGCCATTGTACATAAATGGTGAGGAGGTGGGTAGTTTTAAATTTCTGGGCACTTATATCTCAGAGGACCTCTGATGGACTATGAATGCTAACATGCTTGTGAAGAAGGCACAGAAGAGACTGTACTTGCTGAGAATGCTCAGGAAGATAAATCTATCTCAGCATCTACTTCTGTCCTACTATTGCAGCACCATTGAGAGTGTCCTGATATATGGCATTCTTGCATGATATGGGAGCAGCTCTGCAGCGGACATAAAAGCTCTACAGAGAATTATTAAAACTGCCCAGAATATCATCGGGCTCCAGCTACCAGCCCTGGATGACATCTTCGCATCTCGCTGTTTGAGGAAGTTGCACAACATTCTCAGAGACTCTTCCCATCCTGCTTACAATCTTTTTGGACTGTTGCCTTCTGGCAGAAGATACAGAACAATTAAAACTCGGACCACACGTCTTCTGAATAGTTTTTATCCCAGAGCTATAATTGCACTCAACAATGAACTAAAGGGCCACCATCAGTGAGCTGTTGGACAGCATTACTTGGTCTGCAGTGTGGATGCTTGGGTGGTTGAGGGGTGGGGAATTTTTAGTGGGTGGGGGTGTGTCTGGGGATTGTCATGTGTGTTGGGCTTGGTCTCTGGGTGTTATGTGAATTTTGTTGTATGGGTATACTGTATATATACATACAATGACAATAAACTATTAAATTAAATTAAATTATTAATCTACCCTCAACCCCATAACCTCTGAGAATGCTTAGATTCTGCTCCTGCTCTTTCTTGAATTACAAAAGCCAAAGATGCTCCCACCTCCTCATCTCTGCCCCATAACATCAGCCGTCCGTCCTGCAGAGATACATTAGCCACATCCCAAGGAGGAACACCGATGCTTGGAATCAACTGGACAACAGAATCATCACCTGTAGGAAGGAATATGGATATAATGTATGAATGAGCTGGAATTATGACTCTAAGCTTACCAGGATCAGACCTCCAATATATGATATAGAAAAGTGAACACGTCTCAAATTTTTCTTCCCACCATCATGGAGCCGTTTCCAAAGATACAAGTACAGGTTAGATGAAGCCTGGCTCAAAAACAGAAACTGTGGGAAGGACCTTGGATCCTAGTGGATGACCACTTAAACATGAGCCAGCAGTGGGTGGAAGCAGCCAAAAAAGCTAATACAATCCTTAGTTGTATAAAAAAGGCCATAGAATCAAACTCACATGAAGGATTAGTATCACTTTATAAAGTAAGATCACACCTGGAATACTGCATCCAGTTTTGGTCACCACATCACAAAAAAGATGTTGAGCCTTTGAAAAAGTGCAAAGAAGAGCGACTAAAATGATTAAAGGCCTGGAGATTAAAACATATGAAGAATGGTTGCAGGATTTGGGTTTGTCTAGTCTAGAGAAAAGAAGGACTCTCAACTCCATGTGGTCGGATGCCCAGAATCGCACATGCTTGGTGATTCTGCTTCATCAATAAATGGACCCTCTTTCCAATCAGTCTCCAGCCTCCATTTTGTCTCCAGAGCCTTTCTCCCAGATTGGAACTGAACCAGATGGATATTTCTTCCAACAATTTGCCACCCCAGATTGGACTCCAAACTAACCTGACCAACAGACCTGGCCCAGGTAGGCCTCCACCTTGCCAGCAGTAGACCTCTTGTGTCTGTGGGTGAGCCCCCAGATCTTGGCCATTTGGCGCAAGGGTCTTAAAGGGAGTTTTGAATTTTGAGCTTAATGGCTGCTTGGGAAGAAGGTGAGTACCTCTAAATTTTAACTTTTAAAACTCAGAAAAGTGAGGGAAATGTGTCTATGCCTCTGTGTGACTGAGAGGATCCTTCTCCCAATCACTGCTGAATGCTGCTCCCTCTGTGCCTTTCCTAACCACAAAAAGATCTGTTCTACCAACAGAGCCTGGGAAGTATAGGGGGTCAGGCCAGAGCACAGGACCTTCTGTTAGGGAAAAGGGAGAGATTGTGTTAAAATGGAATGGAAAAGTGAATGAGAGAGTTGAACATGGGCAACTGACTAAACATCACTGAGCAGACCCCATTGTGGAAAGGAGATACCCAAACTCTGATTAATCTCGGCAGACAGAGTCCTCCCAGGCTATTTGCCTAAAAACTGAGGGGATTACCCTAGGCTAAAAGGTACCTTCACCATGTAGTACCATGGATTGTGAAAGACCTATGGAAAGAGAGAGGGCCTTGGAGTCTCAACGCAGATGGTGGGAAACGAGCATAGGGAGCTCAGGATTTGGATCTACTGAGGTCTCCTCTAGGGAGACCAATGGATGCCTGGGACTGGGATAAATTGCCCGTCCAGGCAAGAATGAGGAAGGAATGAGGAAGAAGTGTGTGTGCAAGCTATGTGAGAAATGGACTCTGCTCAGGGATAAAACAAGAAAAACCAATTTGGTTAAATAAAGGTACTTAAAAGAAAAGGGAAATATATATATAGGAACATTGATTATTTTTTCTCCTCTGTCTTCTATGCAACCACATGATATGTTTGTTAAGATTTGTGCCTTCCTTCATCTGAGCTAACTGAGATTTATGGTGGGGGTGACCAGGGTGTGTGAACCTGAGAGTTCTGCTGTCTTTTTCTTTCTATTTCTATTGTCTCTCTGTGTGTGTCTTTGTGTGTTAGATAATTGTAACTGTTAAATGTCTCTGATCCAAAAAGACAAGAATTTTACATTGTTGTGGGGGGGGGAGATTAAAGCAATAAAAAGAAATATATATATTCACCCTAGGTTATCTGGCCAGCAAAACAGAGTGAAGAGTGTTCACTTTTTTCCTTCCCTCTTTGTACCTTTAAGAAGTGCCCAAGGTTATGAGGGAATGTTTTAAGTTCATGTACATTCTTGCATTTACTGTATGTGTTTAAGTGGCTTTATCTCTCCATCCTTTTCCTGAAGCATGTGAATCCAGCTTCTTTTTTCTCATCTGTGGTGTCCCCATTTTGTTATGACTGGTTTATCTGTTTAATAACTGCGGTACTGATGTTCCCGTCTCCTCAAACTCTGCCTGCAAGGTATCTATCCACCCCCATACCACCTCTCTATCTTTTATCCTCCAACAATGCCTTTCCTGGGAGGATCACCCACAAAGGGGGGAGGGCCCTGTTCTCATGTCTTTCAGCCCTGCACAGACAACTCTGCAATCTGTGGAAGCAGATCACACTGACCCAGATGCTGTCTCCAGAGGAGACCTTCCATTTGAGCCAAGGAATTGGGTTTGGATCCAGATGGCTATCCACTAGAAAGTCGTCACCACAACCAGAGTGGACCAGACCTTCCCAAGCCTGACTGACCAGCCTTAACACCACCCAGCAGACATGAAAGAAAGGACCCTGAGATGGACATGTAAAAGACTAAAGACTCTTTCAATCCCCAGAAGACAGCTGGAAAGACTATGGCAAAAGAGTGGAAATTCATTGTAAGATTTTCTTTCTTTGCTTCATTCACGTTGTAATTGATTACTTAAATGGATTCATGGAGGGATGGCATTTGGGAGTCGTTGACACAGCAAGTTCTGAACACCTTAGATTTCTGTCTGATGGGAGGGAAATTTGTCCAGGATGTTTGTATTGGCTGTCTTGTAGAAGTAGCTACACACACACACACACACACACACACACACCCTCCATTCAGAATCAGACTGAATGGAATCCCCTTCACCCACTTCCACACAAAGGTTCTCCTAGACTGGCTCTTGCTCTGTGGCACTAAGGCCCAAGCAGTCATACCTCTCTGTCAATTCCAGGGGGGGGGCATGCCTCCTCAGGCAATTCCCTCACTGAAGATGTAGCAGAAAAGAGATCTCCAAACCCTAAGCTCTAATTGTGACTCACAAATGATGCTGCACAGTTGCCCAGTAAAGCAGGGTAGGTTGCACTGGTGGTCTCATGAGTAGGAGTCCCAGGGCTCATTGTGTGTAATTTCAAAAATATTAATAGCCTGGATTGCACACTGGCTAACCTCAATTTGGCCTCAAAAACCCTAGATGCACTAAACTAAGAGCTAAGGCTGGTTCAGGAAGCAACCCTTGGAAATGGGCAGCCTGTAGTTATTTAAAGCAAAATCATGGCTGTGAAGAATTTTGGGGCTTGTGCTTGCTTCAAACCTGACTGGAAGATCACAGAAAGTGACATCATTGGTTAGATTAGGAAATTAGTAAGAAAAGACTATTAACGAACTAGAAAATAGTAATAAGTATAACCCCTTCATGGGTGACTGCCTTGTCATGGTGAAGGGGCTTGCATAGCTCAATGAGGCTATGAGCTATGCCGTGCAGGGACACCCAAGATGGACAGGTCATAGCAGAGAGTTCTGACAAAACGTGATCCATTGGAGAAGGAAATGACAACCCACTCCAGCATCTTTGCCATGAAAACCCCATGGACAATACCAAAAGGCAAAAAAATATGATGCTGGAAGATGAGCCCCTCAGGTCAGAAGGTGTCCAATATGCTACTGGGGAAGAGCAGAGGGCTAGTACTAGTAGCGCCAGAAAGAGTGAAGCGACTGGGCCAAAGCTGAAAAGACGCTCAGCTGTGGATGCATCTGGTGGTGAAAGGAAAGTCCGATGCTGTAAAGATCTATTCTCTATAGGAACCTGGAATGTAAGATCCATGAATCAAGGCAAGCTGGACGTGGTCAAACAAGAGATGAAAAGACTGAACATTGAACATTCCAATTTCAAAGAAAGGCAATACCAAAGAATGTTCAAACTATCGCACCATTGCATTCATTTCACATGCTAGTAAAGTTATGCTTAAAATCCTATAAGCTAGGCTCCAGCGGTACGTGAATCAAGAACTACCAGAAGTACAGGCAGGATTTTGAAGAGGCAGAGGAACTAGAGATCAAATTGCCAACATACCCTGGAGAAAGGTAGGGAGTTCCAAAAAAACACCTACTTCTGCTTCATTGACTATGATTGTGTGGATCACAACAAATTGTGGCAAGTTCTTAAAGAGATTTTATTTTTCTGGGCTCCAAGATCACCGCAGATGGGGACTGCAGCCAAGAAATTTAAAGACACTTGCTCCTGGGGAGGAAAGCTATGGCAAATCTAGACAGCATACTAAAAAACAGAGATAACAAAAGTGCGTATAGCGGACTTCCGGTTTGGCTCCGCAGCAATTCAGTCGGGGAAATGGCAGGGCTCTGATGAGCCCTGCGAAAACCCCGATTGTCAAACTGCCACCGACAGGTCTGTGGACCGAACCTGTCCTGTAGGGACAGGGAAAGAGAGGGACACCTTGGACGGCCAAGAGGAACAGGCAAATTCCTAGGAGGCCGGAGGAAACCCTCTGAGCCGGCGGCGGGGGTGCGGCAGTCATGATGGCTGCCTCGAAGCTGGGGCAAACCGGAGAAGCACTGTGCAGGAGGAAGAAGGAAGAAAAGAGCGAAGTGTTCGGAAGCCGGGTGAGTGACACCGACCCAGGCAGGAACAATGGTAGAACATGGATTTTTACAAGGAACCCCCTAGCCTTAAACAACGGCTATGGATTTGTGGGGTAAGAAGTTCTAGTAAAATTAATGTGCAGGAGGAAAAGACCCATTAAGGAGTTCAATGTATTATGGACTGATTTGGAACAATCTGCTTATTGAAATAAATTAGAAAACTGAGGAACTTTATTTTTTAAATTGGAATAGATTACCCTTGGAGAAAGAAAAAAGACAAAAGCGACAAATAGGAACCTGACAACTTTAAAAGCTAAAAGCTAAAAGAACAAAGACAAATGGATGATCATATAATTGACAAAAGGGAGAATTGCCGCGACTAAGTGAAAGTGTGAATTCTAGATTGCTTTCGGCTTGAAAGAGATACAATGTGTTTTACAACTTAAATTGGATTACTTTGAAAATAACCAAGGTTTTTTGACTTTGGGGATG